GTCGCTGAAATCAACGTAGGTCCGCCACTTGCCATTTGGCTTCTTTACCAGGACTGGGTTGGCAACCCAAGTCGGGTAGAGTGCCTCTCGGATGGACCCATTTCGGAGGAGGTTTTTCACTTCTAATTTTAATGCAGCGTACCGCTCCGGATCCATTGCTCTTCTTTTCTGGCGATTTAATGCATGACAAATAATGTCTGGACTGATCCCGACCATATTTGCATGCGACCAGGCAAACACGTCAATGTTTTCTCTTAAGAAGCTTATCAGTTCGGACGCGAGCTGAGGGTTGAGGCTGCTCCCAACCCTCAATATCAGGCTTGGCTCTTTCGGGTCGACTAACACTTCAGACAAGTCCCCAACTGGGCCGCTGGAAGGGATCTCCTGAATTCGAGGATCCAAATTATCCTCTGTTGGACAAGGCTACGGCTCGATCCTGCTGATCGCCATAGCCTGTCGGGGCGCACTTCGTGGAATGCCCTTTCCTTTACTTGCCATTTGCACCGCTCTTACGTAGCAGTCGCGAGATGCGCTTTGCGATCCGCTCACTTCCCCTGTCCTTATTGGGGTAGGGAACTTCATCTTGAGGTGGTATATGGAAGTGACTGCCTTGAAGCTTCTCAACAGAGGTTGCCCTAAGATTCCATTGAAGGCCGATGGGCAATCCACGACCAAGAACTCAGTAAGCCTAGTTACCTCGTCGTAGTCACCGAGCGTGACTGAGAGCTGGATCGTTCCTTTGGGGATCAAGTGATCTCCCGTAAAGCCATAAAGGGGGATCGAGGCGGGCTTCAGGTCGGCCTCGTCCGGGTTCATTCTTTTGAAAGCGGTTTGGAACAGGATGTTCACAGCGCTTCCATTGTCCACAAGCATTCTGCAGACATTATGGCGCCCTATGAGGGGCGTGATCACCAGGGCGTCATCGTGAGGATGGTGTAGGCGAGCTGCTTCCTTTTCGCAGAAGGTGATCGGCTCCTCCTTTCGAACCTTTTGTGGTCGCTGCGATGTGTTCATTACCCTGATCGGGTCGTGATATGCTTCATGAGCGTACCTTTCCTGCGCGCCTCGCGTGTTTCCTGCGAGGTGCGGGCCTCCGAAGATTATGTTAACACTACTATATGCACTGCGATCACGACACTTTTTCTTTTGCTCCTCTTGGTTCTCTTTTGGAGTAGAGTCATCAATATACTCCTTAAAGTGCCCTTTCTTGATGAGCTCTTCGATTGCCTGCTTTAGAGCTCGGCATTCATCAGTGTGATGCCCGTTATTCCGATGGAAACGGCAGTACTTTTTGCTGTTTCTAGCCATAGCAGGGGTTTTCATGGGTTCCGGCTCACCGAGTAGGCTGGCCTCCTCGGATTTGTCAAGAATTGTAGATATGGACACGTTCAGCGGAGTGTATTGAATTCTGTTACGGTCGCGATGAGAAATAGGAGCATATGACTTTTCGTGCTCGTAGCGGGGTTTCTTCCCTTTTCGCTGATTATCAATGTCTCCTTTGCGATTAGCTCTCCTATTTTCTCCCCGACCGGACATACTGCTCGAAGTGCCATGATCGCGAGCGGAGTGCCGCTAATGAATTCTCTATTCAGAGATATTTTTATGCAAGGTTGTAAAATCTGGTGAGGGAAACATCGTCCTTAGTCTGTAGTTCTTTCCACAAGTCGGTTTGCGGGCGAACTCCAGCTATTATGAGCGTTCAGATGGATTCTTCGGGGGCATGAGCCACCTTGTTGAGTTCCCTGTGGAAACGGTCGATGTAGGATTGTAGGGATTCGTCTCTTTCTTGCCTTATGTTGCTGAGATAGCTCAAAGGCATCGAAAACTTTCGATTTGCTTGGAAATGCCGTAGGAACGTCATGCTCATTTGAGGCCATGAACTGATCGATCCCGCTGAGAGCGACCTTAACCACCACTTGGCATGAGAAGTCAGCGTCACGGCCAAACAGCGGCATTTTGCAAGATTCGATACCTGGTGGAGCTCCATCAGGTCGTTGAACTCATACAAATGATCCTGCGGGTCATGGTTCCCATCAAACGACCGCATGTCGGGCATTCTGAACCCTGGTGGGAGTGGAACAGCTAGCACTTCGGGAGAGAAGGGGGATGCGAAGGCGACCTGGGCCTGCTCGTTTTGCTGCTCTCTTAGCCTGTCCAGAGCTCGCTATAGCTCCTCAATCTACGGTAACAGAGCCAATTGGGGATTGCTTTCACCCATGCGAGTCCGGCCTTCGTGATTACAGTTCAGGAAAGTTTGGAGGTTGGACTCCTCTTCGCCTTGGCCAGCATTTCCGGCCGCTCTTGGCACACGCTGACTAGAGGCGTGTGAAGGCGATGGATGGTGCGGGGTATTTTCACAACCCTCGCGGTGGTATGAACTACCCCGCGAGGTGTGGGGACCTCCCTTATGATAGCGATCGGGATCGCTCTACTGGCGGTGATAAGAATCGTCCTACTCGGCACTTTTGCTTGGGTTCATCTGCGACGTGGCGTGGGACAGCTCGGGATTCACTTTTTCGCCGAGTTTTAGCTTTGCCGGCACCCTGCTTGGGGCGTGGTTTGTGTTCGCTGACCCTTTGGAGCCCGTAGGCTTGCTTTTTGCCACTTGCTTACTCTTACGTCTACGTGCTACAGTGCTCGCGGCACGGGCTATTTCCCTTTGCCACGCTTTCGTGTAACCTGCAGGCGTTTTTGGCGGTTGCACCGCCCCAACTGTTCTAGATGGCATGCCTTGGTCCAAACGGTCCAGCCTTTGGTTGACCGTTTGGAGGGTGTTGTCGAACCTCTCCAGGTAGCTTCTGATGGCAGGGTCAAGCTACGAAGCTGCTGGGATATCTACCGCAGCATTTTGCGGAACTGGAAGTATTCTGGAAGAGGTATCCCCTTGGGTCAGGGGGACTCCCTCAGCGCGCTGGTTGGCTTGCTCAGGTTCAGATTGGCGGGCCATTTGCTGCTGTAGGACCAGTAGGTTAGAGATTCTCCTGATGAAGGATGAACACTAAATTGGCCCTCCTTCTAGCGCCAAACTGTTGTTGCGTGATTTTAACACTAACTAATCGACATGTGCGTAACGTTGATTGGTCAAGAGACACACGTGATTATGGATAGAATGTGGAATTAATGCAATGAGAACTTTTTTAAGTGGTTCGGATGCTAAGGTAGCAAATCCTACGTCCACTGATTTGTATTGGTATTGTGGGTCAGGTTACACGGCGGACTGACTTACAAATGATTAGGGGAAAATAAGTACAAAGTTTACAAGAAAGAGAGAGAGAGAGAGAGAGAGAGAGAGGGAACGTTCCGAGTGTGAAAATAGCCGAATCCCCCTAATGAAGGGGTCTTCCTCTTTTTATAACGAGATGAGTGCAAGTAATCATCATTAAATCCATAGGTTGGTGTGAATGTCAGGATATAATCCGGCTTTACATCACATTGCCCACCTCCCAAGCTGATTTCACGCGATTTGGAGCAGGGAAATGGACACGTGGGAGCTCCATAGCGTCTGGCAGGCCTGACGTGCGCTTACCGTTCTGACGGAAGCAGGTCACACTTCATCACGTGATTTCCCACGTCAGCCCTTGATTTCCTAGGCATAACAAATAGATTGCATTATTTTATGAATTTCTTTGTAAAATTTGCACATGGCTCCATTTACTGTTGAAGGAAATTAAATTCACGTGTTATGGAATTAAGTTTGTAAGAAGTGGGAAGCTAATTTATTTCTCACTTAGCAATAAATGTGAGTGCGTATCAAGTTTTTGGTAGTGTATTACAATGTATATTCAATTTCATACCTTCCATTGGTGTCATGTAATGGTAAAAGTCTTGAGTTGACGTAATTTTCGCCCGAAAAATGAATAAAGAGGAGATTTTGCTCATTATAGTTTCGTTTGAATAGGCAGTTTATTATTCACACTTGCAGACAAATGTTACAATAGTCAATTTGTCAATTCAATTTAACAAATTCTTGGCTCCAACTACAAAGTTAAAACAGGTTATTTGTCAATTCCACTATGTAAGGTGAATCAATCCTAAAACTAGAGGTATCCTGGTACAAACATATTTTGTTCCGAGGGACGGAATGAAAGCAAGGAAAAGAAAAAATTACAAATGGCTGACAAATATGTTTTGGACTCTCAAATTTACACACATTGACATAATTTCTCATCTCAATTAACTCGAAGGAGAGCTGACAAGCTATAAAAAAATCACATAGAAAGAAAATCTCCCAAAACTCCTACCTAACTTGGAGCCTTATTAATTATCTTGGTAGTGTAGTCACGTACCTAAAATCCATTTCTTGCCCTTAACATCTAACAAGCACGGATATTATGTTGCCAACCACAGTAATGTTACCAGGCCGCTCTCATGGATTATGGATAGAAGAAATGGTATATTGAAATATCCTTAATATGTGACTTTGCCAAAATTATACTTGTTTAACCAAACACAATATTAATTTATGGTAATTCTACACGGACAAACTTTTCTCACTAACTTTCTCTCACAAACACGAAGTGTCAGTTCACAATAGATTATGTCTGACCAAATGCGAGCTAACCTATTGCGAGCTGTCACGTTGCATTTGTGAGAGAAAGTTGTGAGAAATATTTGTCAATGTATCTTTATTCTTAATTTATATCTAATAATCTTTTAAAGGGTCGTCTAGTAAAATAATATTTAAGTAATATACATTTATTGCCAATCAAACACCTTAATTATTTATATAGTCCACACGAACCAAACACAGTAATAATTTATACCCAATAATTTTTAATAGTAATCTATCTCATTAGTAATCTTATATTTCTAGTAATAAAACATTCCCTAAACCAAACGCCCCTAAAAAGGCTCACAATTGCACTATGATAGAAACATTTCAGAATTAACATGTACAATTATTTTTTAAGCTGAACTCTACTTAAATTCTGGTCAAAATTATGATTTGTAGTTGATAACTCTACTGAAAGTGGATTACCATAATCGCAACACATGTACCAAATGTTGTGATGGAGCCGCCATATATATGTATATTACTATGTCTAATGAAACAAATATCTAATTACTCCGACTGTGGTAACCAAAACTTATTGACAAAGTTCGTGGGAAGAAGGGGGTGAAAGTACAACAAGAATGTATAGCTCTTTCATATGTTTATCTCGAGCTAATTAATTATACATGAAAATTAATTTTAATGGAGAAAACAAAAGAAGATATATATAAAGGGTGAAATGAAAGAGTATCAATCAAAAAGTTCCCACTGAGGTGTGGTTGGAGGAGGATCAAAACTTTCCCACTTTGTTGTAACAACAACTGGCTTTACTCTTGCGTTTGATATCTTCAGAACATCGAGGCTTTCAACACACTTTTGCACTCTCTTGCCCTGCACAAGTTACAATTAAAATTAATTCCTTCAATAATTGATAGCCCAGTTAAATAATATGTTTTCTTAATAATTTAATTGTCTGGATAGAGAATTTTTTTTGGACATATTCTTTTTCATTTATTTGAACAAGTTTCTGTACTTTTTATAAGATAATTACAACCTTTTTTCATTTTTGACTAATGGCCAGTAGTGGATCCAAAAATTTCTGTTAGGATCAACTAAAAAAAAAACTAATTACATATAACATTTATATTCTATTTTTTAGTTGAAATTGTTGCAAAAAGAAAAAAAATTACATATTAATATATATTTTTTTTAAATTTGAGAGTGGGCCATTGCCCACCCTCAACACCCTCTGGATCCGCCCCTGCTAATGGCCATTGATAAAAAATACTCTCTTTATATGTTTTAATTAAGAATATTTTAGTAATTTTAACCTAAATATCAAATTATAAAATCACTTAATTCTTTCATATATTGAAAGCTTGTTTGATTAGATTTATTTATTGACTAAAAGAGTTTATTTAAAGCAATAAAGACTTTTGAAAATTTTTCAAGTTATTTGGTTGTAACTCAAAATTGCTTATAGGATTTAGAATAAGCTATATAATTTTTTCTTGAGCTTATTTAAGGTGTTAAAAAATTTTAAAATATCTTTGCACTATTTTAAAATTTTGATTTTATATTTCTTATATATTAAATTATTTTTTAGTAATTTAAGACTAAAAAACTCTTTTACTTTATTTTAACCAAATGATTAACAATTTTTTTTTTTTTTAATAAAAATTCTATTTGGATGAACTCTATTCTAATAAATTTTACTTCAAGATGCTATTAAAATCTGGTGTGCATATATATATACCTGCAATATTTTCTGAGCAGAAGCGTCTCCATCTGCAGAAATGCTATCCAGCTTGATTGCTTGCCTCATCAGCATCTCAGCCAATGTTGTAATTTGAACTTCTGGTACCTTAACTCCATTAGAGACCGACTTTTCAATGGCCGAAACCTATCACGTGCAAAAACAATTTAATTAAGAAAAAACTTATATATATTCACTAACTAATAAAAGTTTATTGCATGCACTACATTTATAAACTGGACGGTCAAGATTCTACGCCCAATAGTGATATAAAACCCATATCTACGTTGATGACCCACTCATATTAATGCCAGCTGTTTCAGGAACCACTTTTAACTCCATCTTCATTCACCCTATCTAACGGCTGCTATTAATCCACACTATATTCAGCACTTGAACATATATGAATATGACATTGTAACGATTTAACCAACTTTAACATGGATATTTTATTACAATTATACTACTTAAATTTAGAATTTTTTTTGGCATTAAATTTCACTTATTTATTTAGAAGGATATTATATCAACAAACTCTATATACAAATCGACAATGATAAAAATTAAAGTATTTTGATACCCTTTATTTAACAACTAAATAATTAAATTATTAACATAAGGTTTACCAATAATATATGTTAATTAAAAGCTTGTCCGATTTGGCATGCAACTTGAAGTATCATTAAATATATAGTTTAATTATTATTTCGAAACATTAAACTAATTTTAAAATTGTAGCGGCAAATTGTAAAATAAGCTGTATGAAGTTTAAAGTTGGTATAAGATCGGCTTGTAAAATTGAAATTGATTAGAGGGAAGCTGACCTGATCCGCAAGCTTATCAACCTCCATGGACACGTTTGAGATGGCACGATGAGCGCTTTGAATCTTGGCATTTCGACGCAGCTCAATGAATCTCCCCTCGATGCTTGACGGGTCTTCCGTTAGTATGACTTTTGATCGGTCTTTCACCGCACACATGTCCAAGTATTCTCCATTTTCTCGTTCTTTCCCTCGGAAAATTACCCTCTGTTCACCTGGCTGTAACCCTGTCTCTACCGTTAACAGCTTCTTCAAATCTCCTGTTAGTCGTCCACACCCATCACAAAATCAACTCTTTTTATTCCCATGCTTTATGTAATTATTCCAAAATTGAATAGCAATACTCTTACAAGTTATCTTACTAAAAGATCCTTACGAAGTAACATGGTAAAAGATGAATGAAGGAGTTAAAAAAAAATAAAAAATAAAAAATAAAAAAAATAAAAATAAAAATCAAAGGACGATATGTCAACCAATAGATATTGTTATGTTATTTTATATGTATTTTTGTAAGATAACTTTGTATGTATAATTTTACTCTCAAATTATAACTCGATATTGTGACATCTTTTTAAAACTTTCTAGACACGAAAGTACATGAATTTCTATGCAAATTTTGTATATATTATATTATTTTTATTTGTAATACAAAGTTTCACTAATTTATATTTATATTTATATTTCCAATTAATAAATTATTAAAATTATATTTGATTTACCCTCTACCCAACTTATGTTGATATAAAGTTCACTAACTTATATTTGATATTTCCAATATTTATATTATTACCTTATTCAATCTTATTTATCATTTATTTATTAAATTAAGCTTTTATTTTAATTTAAACATTTAATTTGTATCCATCATTTTAAATAATTATTACAGAAATTCAAGAATAATGAATACGAAGACTCATTTTGTGTATCAAAGAACACGGTATAAGCAAAAGCGAGTAGTAAAAACCATGCAAAAACGACGCAGTAAATAATAATTAAAGAAAACCAAACCAACTTACTTTTCTTCTTTATTATTGCAAACTTAATCACTACCAACATCCCACGTCATGACTAATTATTCCTTGATTTTCTAACCAACCAAACAGAAAACAAAATTAAATCCAACTATCTTACCAAAAGTCGCCAGAGAATTCACCGAGATCTCGTACCGGAGCGCCCCAAAAGCAATCCTAAGACGCAAATTCGGGGCCGAAACATCCTTTTTTTCGCTTCTCTTTTGCACCAGCATGCCTCCTGGCCTCAATTCACAGTCAATCTCTTCTTCTATTGATGTAGACGACGATGTCGTCGTCGAGCTCTCATGCATTTTACCATACAAATTCGACCTTCGCTTCATCACGATCATTTGAAAAAATAACCTCAAACTTTCCCAGAAAGACACGGTTCAAATATTTTCTGGGGAAAGTGAGGAAAATTTATCTCAGGCCATGAACATTAAGATAGTTGTGTTTTAATTTGCTGCCGACACAAAGAGAGTGTAACATGGGGTGTGGGGTTTTATATGGTTCGTGGAGTTTTTGCTTAGAAGACATGAGAAAAATGACAGGAAAAAGTTTGAGCCAATAGTTTTTCGACACGCGTCTTGATTTGTCAGATAATTTGTAGTGACAGCTAAGTAGAGAGGTTGCCGACAGCTTAAGGAAGGAAGGATCCAAGAGAAGTGAAAAAAAAGGGGTCTGGTTTGTTTTTGTGTTGGTTTAAATCGAGAACGTGGACGTCTGGTATCTGCTTAATCGATAATCATGTGTGGGCCATAGACATCAGGAGCTATTTGACGTCGTTTTATTATTGCCTTTGTAGCTTCAACCACAGTGGCTACTTTTCATTTTTTGCCTGGTTAAACTACCACGTAATCCTATTCTCACGCTAAAGCGACAAAATTTCATTTTCTCACATAATTTAAAAAATTTATATTAATTAAAGAGTTAATCATGAATTTTTCTAAAGGATGATATAATAGCAAAATTTCCTTTAAAGTTTTAAAAATAACAGAATTTTCTTGCTGTTAATTTTTAGGGTTTTTTTTTTTTTTTTTGATAACCATTTTTAATTTTTAAGTGTTAATATAAATGATAGGACGATAATTTCATATTATTGTTAAGTTATAATAATATAATTTTTAACTGTTCATTAACAGTTTATTAGTGACAAAAGAATTTTAATTATTTCATAAATCTCAAAGGAAATTCTATTACTACATCATACCTCAAGGTTCAATTTTTTAACTCTTAATTAAATGTGAATTATTGTCACTAATTCAACAAACTTCATACCTAAATGGTCGAACATATATAAATTTATAATATTTTTGTATTTTACGAATTACCACAGAGAGCTTTTGCATGAATTACATTTGTAATATTTTACTTTAATATTAATTTCACGTTCACAAATTACAGGTAGGTAGGTCACCCATTGGAATTAATAAATCTCTTTTATCAGATTTTATAATATGAAACGAAATGTAAATTGAATTTATATCCTAAATGCTGTGATTACATGAGACAAATTAAAAATGAATAAATAATTTTCTCGATCTGTAAATTTCATTTATATAGAAAGGTGAAGAGAACTTGGAGATTTGCAAAGAGTTTGTTATTGTTGCTTAAAAGTTTAAAAGGGATAGGATAATAAGTCTTAACGACCTGTGATGTTACGTGATTAGTAGTCCATTGCCCCAAACGGGGTAAGTTGCCTTTAACAGCGTTGGTATCGGGTCAAAACATAAATCGTGTATTTTACATTGCGTTTTGTTATTTTATTATTACTGTAATAAAAAATTAAACGAATATTGAGTCCAAGGGCTCACTTGGGTTTGATTTTAAGAATTTTTAATGTATTCATAAGTTAAGATCTCACATTGAAAAGAAAAATGGTGGGTATGTGGGTTATAAAGGGTTTGGACACCCACCTGTGGTAAGCCGGTTTTTTAAAGAGAGTTCTACTCAAACTCACAAAAAACCTATTGCCCAATAAATTGTTAGATAGGTATCTATCAAATGGTATTAGAGTATAGGTTCGAGTTGCGGGAGGGTCAAAGCCAGTTAATGAATAGAATTGAGCGAATGCCTATCTTGTGCTCAAGTCACGCATAACGCGATATCAGAAGCATGGTGGAATCTAGGCTAAGTTAAGTAATAAAGGTAACGCCTCTACTACTAGCGTTAGCTTTTAGTAGGATGGTAAATGCCTTGCACTTGTCAAGGGAGGGTGTCCAAGCCCTTTATAACCCACATGCCCTTCATTTTCCCTTCCAATGTGGGATCTTAATATCATATCTATAATAATTATTACTACATCATTACAATAGTTTTGAAAAGTAGGTAAAGCGGTCAATGGTTATTTTCGAAGTCTAATTACAGAATAATTTATCATGACATTTTAATGAATTATTTAAAATGCACATTATCTACTTACTAAATAATGCTCAGAAAAAATATGATGAATTTTTTATATTATTTATTATATCTTTAATAGAAAAATATTTCTTCTTCCTTTTATTTTTTTTTAAATAAGTATTAAATGTTATATATTGCATAATATTCATTTCAAACAACCACAACAATTTTAATAGGTTTTTTTCATTGTACTTAATCTCAAAAAGTAAGGCAAAAGTTACATTTTGAATTCTAATTTTTGGAGTATCTGATTCTGGTTATATAAATCACCCAATCTTGCATTATGAAATAATATAACCCAAAATGAAACTTGTATCAACAATAACTTAAATTAGATAATAATTATAAATATGTAATTGATTAACTAGTTAATATAAGAATTTGTAAACAATTTTGAAAAAAGAAAAATTGAAGCTGAGCAATCGTCATAATTAGACCTAGCAAAACATGCGGGTGGGTCAGGCCAAATGGGTATGGGCCCAAAATGGGTCAGTTCAAAATGGGTCAAAACTATTGGACTCGAATCCTACCTTATGTGGGTATGGGTGAACCCGCAGGTACCCGTATTGCTCATGACAGTTTTCAATTTTGACAGTTACACCCCCAAAATACCTGTAGTTTTCATTTTTTATAATTACACCCCACCATCAACTACTACAAATTCAATTCAATTCACCACAAAAGTGTTAGTGTATGCCCTAGGAACCAATCATGTTATCGGTTTTAAGGTATTATATCTTGTAAATATTCTTGTAAGAATGGAAGAACGAGTTTTGATTTCACATATTGTTTGCCGCTTCATTTATATTGTATATATATACTACATGTGAAAGAAAGAGTTCCGATTTCACATGTTGTTTGTGTTAGAGTAAGTACCCTAGAGTCAATTAATTATTGTAAAATTAACTCTGTAATAAATGTTTATTTATCAATAAAAAGGCACATTCTTCTATATCGTGTAAATCGTATTTATATGTAATGATATATGTCCTTAGGATGGTAGAACCATGACGAGGGTATCAAGTGTTTCAAATCTTGATAGTGGAACCTTATGATCACATATGGTGACCATTCTAGAAACGTCCGTAGCCCCAATATTATTCTGACCAAGGACACAGATAATATGGTAAGATTATCATAGTGTTGAACGACCCTATCAAAAGGCAGTGACTAATCTCACTTATCAAGGTTGTTTGTCGACAACCTGGTGCAACGCATGGGTGCTTGCTATAGGCAAGTTCACTGGACAGACCCACCAGAGGATTCCACATGGATGGTAACCCCAATGTCTATGAAATAAATCCTCTAATGAATGGTGGCAAATGTGATCCTTAGACTTGAGATCACCGGAGTGCCTTGTGCACCAATTGGTGTAGCTTGACACTAGTCTAACGTAGTTCTATTCAGAGCTATCAATATGGTAGTGATTGGCTACATTGAGAAGTGTATCGAGACTATGGTGAATCGACAAAAGATTCATCACTCCTGGGTACGGGAGAAGTTATCTCACTGGGTAATTCAGTAAATGGCAATGACACTGAATCTGTGGCCATAGTGGGATTGAGTTGTTGCTCAATCCTATTTGATATTCCTGTCATTGGTCTAGTAATTGAATACAAACATGTCAAGAATATCTGAGGTTGACACTATTTCTGTACCTCAGTCTCAATGAGATAACAATTGATGAAAGAATTTGATTGCACGGTAACCATACCATTGACAGGTTGCGGTTTTGCTGAATCTGAATCTATTAGGTGGCCATGATGCCTTGCTAGGGGCCAATCTTGGTCTATGTGTAGTGAGACGATTAATTAGTGTTAATCGCAATACTATATACTACCGATATGATGAGGAGCCTACGGGTCACACACTTAGAAGATAATTTAAGAATAGTTTTGTGAGAAGGGTATTTTCTTCTTTTGGAACGAAAGGGTATTTTGGTAATCTCGCAGCGTAATTAAATTTGTTGAGGTTATTGCCTGTATTTAATTTGATATTAAAATTAAATATGAGATTATATTTAAATATACGTATGCATATATTTAAATGAATTGTTATTATTAATTAAATGTTAATATATATATTGATTTTAATTATAATAATAATTAATTAATTTAAAATACCAATTACATGGTGTTTGGTTGCAAGGGTAAGCTTGGGTTGGTGTCCATGGGTATTCTTTATTGGAATCGGGTTTTAATTAGTTGCACTATATAAGTGCAACTTAATTAAAACACAAATATACTTTTATAAAAACAAAACCCCAGCCACCCTATCTCTCTCTCTCACATTTTTACCTTTGAGTGAAAAGAAAAAAAATTTCTTTTCCCTTTGATTGTTCTTGATTCTTGAAGCCAGCAATTGTTCTAGCAAAATAATTGTCAGTTCTTCGGATTATCTTCGTGTGGATTTTCGCTGGTGCGATCCTACATTGGATCGATTAGTGAACAGTGTCAGTGAACAGCTTTGGTGAACAGTATCCGATGAACAGTTGGTGAATAGTAATCGGTGAACAGTAGCCGGTGAACAGTGTTCATAAGCGAAGTCGGATATATTCGGAGGAGCCTCCAAACGTGGTATGAACTAAATCTTTATATGGATTTGCTTTAAACAGATTTTATTTTATGTTTTAGTTTATACATGAAAAACGTTATAATCTGTATTCGGATCTGGGTTCGAGTAAGTGATCTTTTCGTTTTTAATATTACGCTTGTTCTGCCGCGTAAACCTGATCACTTACTTACAGTGGTATTAGAGCCTCGGGTACTAGACTATAATGTTTTCATTGATGTTTGATAACATGTGGCTTTTTTGATAACATGCTAGTATAAACTGTTTTTAAAATCTGTAAAATCTGCCTTGAAAGCACGTTTTAAGAAATTAATTTAATTTATTGATGATCTGCTGGATTGGTATATTGGATATGGATTTTTGTTGAGATCAGAAGTTCAGATTGATTGTAAAAAAATCCGATTGGCGTTTTGTTTGCTATTGGTTGAACTGATACGTTACAGATCAGTGTACATTCACCGTGACGATATAACCCATTGTCGCGGCGATCGTTGTTTGGCGTACTCATTGAT